ACATACAAACACGCTCTTATATACACATAAATACTCGTACACACACAAACACACGCGCACGCACAAGTAAACACACACATACACAAATATTGTGTTGCATTAATATGTTTTCGTTGCATCAGTGATGGGAAAATGCATTAAAAAAAAAGTTTTTTCCAGGATAATCAGCCAAATTTGCTCCAGTGCACTATGATTTCCCTCAGTAGGCAGTACGAACTAACAAATCCTGAAATAATTAATTGCTTTGCTTTTTTAAGTTGAGTATTACCTGCATTTCAGTTGCATAGTTTTCCATTGCACGCAACAGTTCAGTGGTCCTTCCCACTCGCACTTCCTTGATACTGTCAACTGCTACTGAAACGAATTCTTCTTGATTATGGCAAACTTCAAGAGCAATTTGGAAATGAAATAGCAAAAATGACGAATTTACTTTTAGCGTGAAAGTGAATTTTCTGAAAAGTTTTTTGAGAAATGAAAACAACATACTTTTAGCCTTATGTGGTTTTTTGTTTGTCGGAGTCCAGCGTATGTGTGATAAATCGGAATCTAGCGTGAAAACTCGGCGAAATTGCCGAATGTTTGCCCGAAGCTTGATCAGTTCCGTGCCGTTTTGCATCATTTGGATACAGTCTGTTACTACAAACAACCAGCAATGATCCCATCAAATGCATGGTTAATTAAAAAATCAATCAGTTTCTTTCCGAATGCACCATTCGTAGCTAATGCGTCAGCAGATATGCTTGCTTTCCGAGAAAGCATGTTAAGATTTCTGGTTTTGCCGGAAAACTTCTTGGCCCTCTTGAGGCATGCTGTAAAAAAATTGGCCAATCTGAGACCACCTTGCCTCATTTCTCTCTCGAATTGTATATAGACTGAAACGCATGATCTGGTAGAATGGGAGCATACCGTTGCAGATTTTCTTTTCATGGGTCTGTGTACTGAAGCTAACGAATTTGGTAGCCGGTGAGCGATTTCTGCCGCTACGCTTCAACAACGAGCTGCGCAATGGTGATTTCCTGCAACCTGTTGTTAAACAGAACCACAGTTTATCAGAACTTTCAAAAATCGGGCAGTTTAACAAAAAAAGACTTCCCTACAGTTTCGCTGGGTAGAATTTGGTTTCTGTGGTGGAATCTGGCGGAATATCAGGGGGAAGCGGAAATATCATAACTCAACCACAACTCACTGCTTTCGACCAAAAACTAAACTTTTCTTGACCAGGAGCCTTATAGCTGCGCCATGTCTACTACGTTATATCGCAAGGACGGGGGACGAACGGACATTGATTTCCTGGAATTTGTTTTCGAGATTTTCGACACAACCACCTTTACCACCATATATTTTTGGCTATTTCTGCAAATAACTGCTAATTTATCGCCATGCAAAAATGCATGATAACGAATTTCCTGGACGAAATGCCATCAATTTTTTGCTTCTAATTTCTTAAAGAAAGGAGTGGTAAAAAAAGGCAACCATAAAAATTGGGCAGTGGAAGCAAGAGACAGTGATATGGTGGGCATTGGCTATTTCGGTAGCTCCACAGGTAAAATTGAATGTTGTCCTGTTGCTAGTTAAGCGAATGCTTAGAAAGATAATCAAAATATCATTTTGATCCGCTGCATAATCCAATGCATAAAGCTAAGGCGTTTACGAAAAAGCAATTCGAGGAAAGCAGCCAGGCTCACGCATAGAAGAAAAAGCATGATCTGTATTAGTATTTGCTTTCTTGAATCCAGAAATGCACAGTTTACAGAAGATACCTTGGAAAACGCGAGATCTTTGCAAATTCTCCATTGGGAGGCGAAGCCCTACTGGCTTCCGGCTCTTGCAGCTCCGTATCGCTCGACTCTTCCATGTCGCAGTTTTTTTTTTGTTCTGATTTACATTTATCGGGAGTTTTGAACTTTTGTAGCGAAGAGGGATACTGCACACATGCTAAAATTAAGGCAGACAGTGAGAGTAAAATTAATTTGTTCAAAGATTTTACTGCATGGAACGAGCGAAACAAATATATGGTGCGGATTCCT